TAGAAACTTGGAGGCGTTTATTTGTGCATTTTACAACTATGAAAGAAAAATTATATTTTAAGAATCATTAATAATAACAGATAAAGTTTTACGAGGAGTGACAACTTACGTTTATTAGTGATTCCACTTTTAAATTGCACAAGTTCTAAATCATCATTCCTCCACGATTCGAATAGCAATAAAGCAACTTCTTTAGAGCTTTCGTGCAAATTTGTAGTTACCACGGTATGGTCAATAAATTTAAGGTCCTCGTAAGTATTAGCTTCTACCATTATGAGTTTAGTTTAGTAGTTGCTTTGCTTAAACATAATTATTTGAAATTTCTTTGATTATCCGTCCAGATCGGGCAACCACGCTACATCACGAGGTGCACATTGATTATCTGTTGCGAGAACAAAGAATTGACCCCAAACTTTGAGCATTTTCTGATATATAGAGGTAATAAAGGTCATGATAAACTAAATTTATCATCTTGAGTTGAGATTTTTAAATTTCCGTACGTACATTAATTTTTGGGTCTTAGATGTGTTCCATCTAAGATGTGTTCCATCTAAATTACTCAAAACTAGTGCAAAAACCAATAAGCTTCGTAGTAGTAATGCAAACGGTTTGGGATGAGCCACGAACAATACGACTAAGCCTAGCCGTTTAACAGCCCTCCTAATAAAGCATAGGCTTTAAAAACGGCTCAGCATAAAGCTATTGTCTAAATAAACAAAATGTTGCACCTGATTTTATGAACATATATACAAAATAAGAGCAAGAATTAAAATTTTCTTGTGTAAGTCTTATACTGGATCTTATACAGCATAAGTTGTCAAAATTTTTATTTTTTTTTATTTTGTACGTACGTACGTAATTACAGCTAAAACTAATTGATCACGTGATGAAAATAATCGATATTGTTAACAATAATAGTTGCAACTAATAATTTTTACTAACTTGGAATAATATGTTCGCTATCGTTCTCATTATCATTCCTGCTATAGTCAATGCTTTTTCCTAAGAGTAATTTTAAAGGGAATTAATTGAGCTTCTCTTCATCATTTAGCGTCAAAAGAAGGATTCTTTCTTCATCATTTAACGTTAAAAGAAGAATTCTTTCTTTGTCATTTAACGTTAAAAGAAAGATTCTCTCTTTTTTAAAAAAAAAGGATTCTCTCTTCATAATTTAACGTTAAAAGAAGGATTCTTATAAGTCTTACTTCACTAAAAAGATGTTCTAGTTCGTTCCGCAATATTGGCATATATGTTTTTTTTACCACCTCTACGCTTTTACTTTTATAGGTTCCCAAAATTCGGTAACAGCTGGAGCTTCAATGTCGTTCTAACTACTTCAAAAAAAAAAACTTGCTAGATATCAAAGTAACTAATTAAAATGCCATGGAAAGCAGTAGACCTTAAGCAGGCCTCATGGTTCGATGCAGCATCATATTATGCCAATTATGCACCATTGATTATGCGAAATAACGCGTAATTTCGAAATTTGGCCTAAATTAAGCCTAATTCGGGCCATTATTCAAATTAACGTCCTTGTGCGTTATTTCGCGCTTATGCGGCAACAGCAACATTAGGAAAAGTCACTTACTTTAAATGACATGCAACAATTTGGCTTTTTTTTGGTTCACAAATGTTTAATTTTAGCAATAAGTTTTGCTTTACTGATCTAATTTCCAGATTCTAGCCATAAGTGTGGTATTCTTTTGTCTCGATAAATCTGACATGTTTAGGTACTTCTATAAAAGATAAGATTTATTTAAATTTTTGAGTTAAAAATTGTAACATCAATCATTTGCGAGAAAAATTATTAATCATACTATACAACAAATCCCGAAACACATTTCAAAGTAAACCACCTATATATGCAAATTGAACCTTTATTAAAATAAAATAAATGATAAAATATAATTTTTGTATTCACTATTGACTATATAATATGGTATTAATATATGGACGTAGGAATTAATAATGCATTAATAAAATATTAACTAATTACAGTACTTGTTACTAATTTAGCCATATTTTTTTCCAAAACTTTATTTATATGATAAATGTTTTCAATTTGCAAGATATTCAAATAAAAAAATAATAAGATGTTAAATATTTGATATTTTAAATGGTCTTATCTTATATTGATATTACAATTAACAATACATATAATTATTCCCTTTCTTTAATTGTACAACTTTTCATTGAAAACATTGCTTAATATAAAAACAATATATAGTAGTTAAATAAAAGTAATACTATGCAAAAGTATAAAATTAAATTCTCAACTAGTTTACCATCCAGATAACTATACGAAACTTGATAGCCTACCTTTATGAGTAAAAAGTTTACCATCTAGATGGCAAACTAGTAAACAGAACTGTGATAAAGGTTACTGTCTAGATGATCACATACTTTTCTTTCTTCACACTTCTAGGAATCATCTACTATCTAGATAACTGCATGGATATGTAGATACAATTCAGCAATTATATTACCATAAACTGCTAGATATTAGATCTCTATATACTAGATCTGAGTGTAAATCTCAAAGTTTACAATAACCAAATATGGTTTTTTTAAATATATAGGCTGTCTATTATAAATAAAAAATATGCATACTTATTAAATTTTTCTTTCTAATGATACAAACTCTCCACTATGTACTAGACCCAGGGTTTTATATTAGGTTTTAATATTGGTGGGATATAAGAATTCCAAGTCTTTTATATAGCAGTTTATGGTAAGTGTCTTTGAGTTATATAAAGTTCTATAAAATTCTATGAAAAGAATAGCAAAAATTACAGTTTAAAATAATTATAAACAAACCAATTTGATATTAAACAATCTTAATTGATATTTTTTAGTAATATATATAATTTTTCCTTTTTTTGATTATAACTTTTTATTAAAATATTGCTTAATAATAAAATAATATAAAACTTGATAAATAAAAATAATACTATACAAAAGTATAGAATTAGATTTTTACTAGTTTACTGTCTAGATAATAAATACAAAAACCTAGTAATCTATTTTTATGAGTAAAAAGATTTTTATTTTTAAATTAATCTATTTGTAGCCATAGGCTAGATGTAGTTATACAATTAAATATAGTTTTTTTTATAGAAAAATTTTGCAGCCTATTAATATTAGGATTAGATTTAGAGTTAGGTTAGGTTAGAGTTAGATTAGAGTTAGAGTTAGAGTTAGAGTTGGGCTTAGAGTAAAATTGTGAGAGGAGCATTTTATTTAATTATATTATTCTAGTAAAATAGAATAATAAGTTTTTTTCACCACTTGCAAAAGGAAAAGACAGTCATTATTTAAGGAGCATGCCATTTATCATGTGATATTTTTTACTTAGTAGCTACTTCTATCCATATATAATGTGATAACTTTATCAAATTTTGATTGGTTAATATTATATATAGATGTAATCACTACCTTTGACCATGTATCCATGTTAAAAATCACATGATAAATGGCATACCCCTAAATCTAATTCATATTTTGCAATATATGAATAAAACAAGATTATCAAATATGATGAAATGTACTCTTCAATATCATTACAAATATATTAGAAACTTTGCTACAACATAAGAGGAAGGAAGATATTGTGGCAAAGTTAAAATATTTTTAATTATAACACATTAATACTATAATCAAAGTTGAATGATTTTGATATCATCTGATTTGCCTTATCAAGCTGAGTCAAATGATACCAAAATCATTTAGTTCTAATTACTGGACCACAAAATATTTTAATTTGATTGAATATTTAGTCATAGGAGGTATTATGGTGAATCAAGGATATCTTGTATTCCCATGATTAGAACTGGATAAAATTTTGGACAAAATTTATATCATTAGATTCCTCTCTTTAAGAGGAATCAAATAGTATAAATTTTATCCAGTTCTGATCACAGGAACACAAGATATTCTTAATTAATTACAATACCTCTTTGTGTTTATTGTAGATAGAAATAATATAATGAATCGGGGGTTATTTTATGATCCTGTGATCAGAATGTGATAAAATTTACACTATTCAATTCTTTTCGGCGAGTAGAATTGATTAGTATAAATTCCATCCAATTCTGATTATTGAATCTCAAGATAATCTGATTCACCACAATATCTCCCTTTACTATAATACCACCTTTTCTTATATAATAGATATTTATTTCCCTACCATAGAGATGATTACTAAACACAAACAAGAAATTCATAAAAATCAATTATATAAAAAACTAAAAATCAAACCTTTATGTATAATTTAGAATTTTCTATTATACTAATAGAAGATATTAAACTATTATATTTATCTACACAAGAGGTTGTCAAATCTTTAGATAACCTTGATAATGACAACTACCAAATACAATTAAGTAATTTAAATTTTATAGAAGATTTTTCCAACCTACCTTCTGTTTGTCTATTTCAATCAAATAAAGTTTTTGATTTATGTAAAGTGCTTTCTGATATTGAATAAAAGTTTTTACAGAATAGTATTTTTTTTTATTTAGTTATTGAAACTTTTTTTTTTCAGTATTAAGGTGGTAGTCTCTTTATTAACAACAATTTATTATCATTAAGTATTATTTCAGTTTAATAGAAATTAACTAATAATGTGATCTGTAATCTAGAGATTGGAATTGATGACTAATTATTCAATCATCGATTAAAAATTTTAAGCATCAAAAATAAGCTTTCATTTATTAAGTTTTAATTTAGTTATCATTGAGCATTAGTAAAATTTAAAATTTACTATTTGTTTTGATAATAATAATGATTATATTATATAATTGATAAATTATTGTTATGGGGTTTAAATTTCATAGCTTAGTTGTTAAGCTTCTGTTTTTCCATAGTCAAGGTTAACAGTTTGAGTTTAGCTAGAAGTAAAATACTCTATAACCAAAAAAGAGCATATAATTAAATATGAAGCCTCATAGTCAAGTTCAAGTGAAAGTACATATTTGAACAAAAAATTTCCAGAAGAAAACCGGTGTAGCAGAAAGTTAAACACTACTATAGTAAAAAATATAGAGAATGCTATTGACATTTGTAGAAAGGATTGGTTCTGTTAATTATGGAATCACCTTTGGCACAAATCCAAAACTAGTATAAATGTAGAATCTATATCTGTTATAGTAAAGTTTATTTCGAGATAAACTAGCTCCAAGCTCTGCATTTATCAAATTAGGCATTGGTATTACAAAGTAACTTGAAAATCAAAAACTTTAAATAAGAAACCCACAGGTAGGTTTTAGATATAGCAATTAGTAAATAAGGGAAGTATCATTTATTATCTGATTTTTTTAAATAGTAAATATTACCTCCCTACATAATAAATAAATTGAAATTTCGAAAGTATATGTATATATGTACATGAAATCTTGGTAGGGACCCCCCTCCAAAAAAAATCAGATGATAAATGACACTTCCCTAACCTGTAGGCAGAGCCTTCAAATAGACAATGACTAAAGTTATGCATATGGCTAATTGTAGCCTCATTGATAGTAAAATATAATACCCTCTTTGTAATATAAAGGTTGTAATATGTTTAATAAAAGAATCAGAGCACAGAAGTCTCTCTATAAACTATAAAATTATTGTTATAGGCTAAAGGTAGATCAATAAAATTGGTATAGTAAACCCATGATTAACAAAATAATCATTCATCAAATACTGGTTTATTAGTTAAGGCTTATTGGCAAATAAGATAAACAACCAAATATGAAATCTAAAAAACAAGTATATATAAAAAAAAAAAGGAGAAGACCAAAAATCAAGAAATAATAACAAGTGGCTTTAATATAAAATTTTAAAAAAGTAAAACAAAACCTTTTCCTTATTATAATCATGTTGTAATTATCATTGTAAGACCTTTATTTTAGATATAGTCAAAGCTATAAAAGCATTGAGATTTCACTCTTGTAAATATTACCTTATATTCTACAGGATTCTAATAATATCTTATAATATATTTGCTAAATCACTCTAATAAATTCTTTACAAAAATTAAATTATTGTCAAATCACCAATATCATACCTCTGGTGAGTTGTCTTATCACCTAAAATCATATATTTTTATGCAAACCTTATCTAAAGGATACAATTCACTCTATAACATTATATATTAAAAATATAGCAATAGCAATACAATTGATAAATGACACTAAATTTTTTAAAAATTTATTAAACATTTAAATATCAGTCAAAATTTTTTTTACCAATACTCAAAATTCTAAAGTTTGTAATTAATTAATGCTCAAAACTCATCGATTCCACTCTCTACTATGACTAACCAAATTGCTAAAGCTGTACTGAAATTTCATTATCTGGGTTAACTGGTTAGCAAAATTGCTATCCAGTTAATATTAAAAGTTTTTATATGAGTTACCTGAGTAATCCTTATCCAGGCCTAATCTCTATGTATAACTTACATAGCATTGCTAAAAAAATGGTAACTAGGTTTTTACTAGCTTGCATATAAGTTCAGATACTAATTGCTAGTAAAATTGTGCATCATACAATAAGAGACATGTCAGATATTAGCTGAGATTGGTTTTTTATAACTACTCCAGTAGCACTGACAGATTTTCACTAATCAATATAAATTGACCAATTAGATTTTAAAATCAGGTGTAATGTGAAAATTATGTGTTTTTTTAAAAATTTTAAAAATAGCAAATAACTCAAAATTTTATATAAAAAACTACTTACTGTATATTAGCAAAAAAAATTTTATGCTAAATTTTGGTATAAAAAAAGCTCCAATGCGATTATAATATTATAACCTAAACTTAGTATAATGTTTTGTTATTTTAAAAATCATTATTTTGATCAAATTTGATTGGTGTTGATCAGTAAAAATTTGTCAGTGCTACTAGGATAGTTGTTTACTATAGAGCTCACCCCCTCCCTCCTACCTGAAAAATTTATGAATGTTCTATAGAATAGGTGGGCAATATATAAAATAAACTCCGCTAATAATTAGTAATCATTAATAAATATTTAGCGGAGTTTGTGGAGTTTGCCCACCTATTCTATAGAACATCCGATATTTATATTAATAAATATTGGCCCAAATTAAGTTTAATTTAGGCCAAGATTAAATAATTTTTTTAATGTCCAATAAAAAAAGTTACTATGTCCAATTAAATTGTTTGGACAATTGAACATTGTCTAAATGTCCAATTGTCTAATATCGTAATATGCCATCCCTGAATATCTCAGTAAAGAAACAACCCTTCTAATGTTGATGGTCTAGAACCAAAATCATCGATAGAAATAAGAAGTCTCTCACTGAACTATAACACTGGGCACTTTCGATTTTGGGTTTAGTTAAATTGTTCTATTTTTTCAAGTTGGATTGCATTGAAGTACATTGTATAGGCTATGTTTATATGAATAATTTTTTATTTTTCAACATAGATAACAAAACAAGAAGCACTAAAGAAGAAAAAAAAAGATAATTTTACAGGAGAGAAATAAGTACCGGAAACATTAGCCAATAAAATCTATTGAGTAATAAAGTTTTATAACTTTAGAAATTTTTTATTTGTTCCTCTTTTTTGTTATCTAATATATATATGCTTGTATAAAGAACAACTTCTTTTTTATTTTTCAACATATATAGATAGAAATTGGACTAAATCACGGGCGGAATTAAGAAAATTAGGTTGAATAGTGGAAAGATGGGTTGAATGTTGGATTTTGGGTGCAATAATTGTCACGGGCTATCTTGACTGCTGTGTATTCGTGGGTCTTTACTATCAATCTTCGCTCGCTTGGCTAATATGTGACGACTGGAGTATAGTACCAGATACTTTCACCGATAATGTATTCACACAGATAACGCAGTTTATTCACTAAGATTGTATTTCACTAAGCAAATGTCGCAAAGTTCAAGCTTGGTATTTTCCCTTTCGGGATCGTCGCTATTTTGCGTCACTGTTTATTACATACTTTCCCATCGCTTATGCAATCGCCACTATTACTAATCACTAATGACTACTACATTGTTCATGCAATCACTATTTTAACCTTTTAATTAATTCCATGCCATGCAAATCCCGATCATGATCCCTGACCCTTGCGCTACGAATACCCGGACAATGACAATAATTATATTTTACAATTATTATAAAAACTCTATTTCACATTGATATGTATACATAAAATCAAATTAAATTAACTCACTATCAGTAATCAAACTTTTTCAAATTTTAAAGTAGTTTACAAATGCACTGTAATGCATAAAAAGAATACTGGACTTGATAAGATAGAAATAGAATTTTTAGATGAAATGAAGTTAGCAAACAGTGTAGATGAATATTTGAAAATCAATTGCAAATATGTGGAAAACCTTTTCGTTAGAGTAGGGATGTTATAATGTTATAGTTCAAAAATAACTAAGACTTGGTTCAGATAGTGGTTCTGGTGGTGTTGCTGTATTGAGGTATTAATTGTGTTAGATTAATATGAAATCAGATCAAAATGAAATAAACAAGTATAAATAGGTTTTAGAGAGTTAAATAGAACCCTCATTTCATTTTAATCCAATTTCATTATGATCCGCGACAATAATTATAATTAAAATAAATGTGTTATATATGAATTCAATCGGTTATATTATATATATTTTTAAACTGAAATTGTACATAATCGAATAGGTCTTTAACAATCCTCTTGGTTCTAACAACAATCTTTAGACCACAAATTAAAAGCTAAAATGTATAAATGATCTTTTATGAACAAGACCGAACTAAGTTGAATTATAACATCCCTGCGTGGTATAACGAATTTCTTGCAGAATTTAATAAATCACTAGGAAGTAATCTGAATTATGCACCTGCATTAAGCAACCATTATCGATTGATGTTAACGGCAATCGGTAGCCCATGATGTCACGAGAAAACGAGAGCCATAGCACGAAAAAAAAAAACTTTTGACTATAAGCCCGTCCGTATACGACCCAGTGAAACGGCCTCGCAAGGGCATAAATTAAGCCAAGCCCCGAGTTGTATAAGGACCTTGTAAGGAACCAAGAAGAAATCGTTATCAAAATTGTTCAGTAAAGGAAAAAGATCATGGAAAGCCCACCCTTTATAAACATTGACCTAACAAGGGAAAGAGCGATGACGTGATTTTGTGTTATCGGATGTAAACAAGTATGTACGTAGTTGAAAGACAAATCTGGTAAATCATGTGGCTGTGTAATAATAGTGAGTTCATGAGAGGGTATCGCTAAAGAAGGAAATTGAGTTCAATCGTGACTAAGTCGTTAGTGATGGCATGATAGAATGAACTTGAATTCTCTTTTGCTTTGTATTCTATTACCGTATCTGTAACAAACCGATAAGCTTTACTTTGCCAAATCTATTACACTTCTCCTCGTTGGTTTTGTTATGTGGTAGTGTTGTATTCGAGTGATGACTATCTTACCCATTTCGTCATATTAGCAATCCCGCTAACAATGAAATTCTGGAAGATGCACTTATACGAATTGATAAAAATCGAATCATTAAATTCTTTCGCGCAGAAAATACTTGATTTGGACAAATCGGAGATCGAACCTAATAATGGATTCACATGGTTAAAACGAATAGATGAATATAAGGCTGAAAGCATTTACAATTATAGTGAAACCTCTCTAAGTGCACGTACTCGGAACCAAAATTTAACGACGTGAACTTAGTGAAAAATAAGAAAAAGTGCATTTATGGAGGTCATGTACTGTACCGACAAAGTTTTCCAGCATTAGCTATAATAATAATGCTGGCAAATTTTGTCGGTATTATGAAAAATGGTTTTACCATTTCGCTAATTCTGTTAAACAAATGACGTCATGATATGTTTATCATGTGATCGCGATCACTGATCTTTAAATGTCCCCACATTTTTACGTTGGGCTATGCCTGCGATTATTTTAGGCCGGAGGAAAATTTTTATTGAAGCAATAGAAATGATGTCTGTACATGGGTGAGGATCAAGCGAGTGATCGGCCGAGATTGCCTGAGCGGTGTTACGACGGGGGAGAGCTTTCTAGGGTCTTGAACCAATTTAGCTTCGATAGTGAATAATTAGTAATTATTTAAATCGATAAACTAACACACATAATTACAAGTTACAAGGTTTCTCTTTATTAACATAAATAAATACATCGGATTATTACAATAATACTAAATACTATTAACAATCATTCTTCCCTTTGCAGATTGAAACCACATCCTTATATATCTTTAATTATATATCTTTAATTTGCATTGGGATTTTAATCCCTCGTTTGGAGTTTTAATCACTCGCTTGGGGTTTCGATACCTCAATTGGGGTTTCAATCATCTAACTACGTGTACACAAACTATACCAAAATAAGAAATTCATAAAATAACGACAATGATATAATAATATAACACTATAAAAAAATTGTGCATGACAGCGGCAACCGTTGTTGCGCTGGGAGTCGTCGCAGGAATGATCAGCCGGTGGGCCGAAGCGAGCCGGCTGTAAGTGGAGAAATGGTGAAATAAGAGAGAAGAGAAATTGTAGAATCACGTAGTCATCCGCTCTGGGTGGGTTACGAGAATCTTTTATTCGGGTCTGATACCAAGGCGCCTTGTGTTCTTTGCTCATAAATAATGTCGATTCGTTCGAATCTTGCTTATTCATGTGCCGTTGCATTCTTCATATGATTTTCAACTTTCAATCATTTCCTTATTATTACTTTGTCCGATCGGTACTATGAGCTTGTGGCGCTTTTCGATCACATGATCTATCATGCCTAATTTTGGTCATCTATGTGTTGATGTGCCAATTTCATGGTACGATGCAGGAAACCTAAAAACTTCTATCACTTTATATAGAATAAAGATTAACTAACTCAATGAAGATAAACTAAATTTGTCATCTCAATAGCATGCTATTGCGTATATATTGTTCTTTGCTTATTGATGTCGATAATTTAGGAAATAATTGTTCTTTGCTTATTGATATCAATAATTTAGGAAATTTATTTTCGATGTGTTACTAGTTTATGCATCATTTAGATTTTTAAACATCCTGTACAGTACCGTACGTACTGTGAGCCCCAGTATCCGACTTAATTGAACCTAGGTGCCGCACAAAAAATGCGCGGCAGATCCTCGATTTTGATTGGCTAACGGCCGAGGATCTTCAAAATTTTGGCCCGCATTACATAATTGTTTACTAATTTCCGGCCAGAATTGATTTTTTAATTTTTTCCTTATAAAAATAGAAATTGTTAAAAAATAAGCCTACATTATAGTAAAATTGGCCCAGGAACAATTTTCACTTAATGGGCTGTTGCGATTTCATTAGTAAAATTAAGAGTAATTCCGGCCTAATTTTTGATTGTCACTCTTAGCCAATCAAAATCGAGGATCTGCCGCGCATTTTTTGTGTAGCACCTAGGTTCAATATATTTTCAGGTTCTGCATCATACACTAATAACTGCAACATTTACCTGTTATCTTATATACTTGTTTAATTTTCATTCAAAATATTTCATTAAAACTTCGATATTTATCTCAATTCTTGTAGCTTGTATATTGTTAATGAATAAGCAGTTCAACTTTATCACATGAAATAATCGACAAGAAAAAAGTTTATAGTCTTACCTTTGAGCCGATATATTTAACTCGTATATTGCTTTTTTTTTTGCATTATAGCAATGTTAAATATGTTTTGTTAATTTTATTTGGCTGATTTTTTTTTTTATACTTGCATTAGAATTAATAGCTATCTTATTGTCTTATCTTGTTTTATTTAAATTTGATTTAATGGTTTCCATGTATAATATTTCACAAAAATGGATGAGTTTAGTATCAATAATATCAATTTTAATGATTATATCAATGAAGAAGCCTTTCAAGATATTCAAGAAAATGTTTTTTCTTATACTAAAACTTATCAAAAACTTATAGAGAAGAAGCTTTTCATATTGTTCACGGTAATATTAATTTTCAAGGTGAAGATTATGATGAAGCTTATAATAATTTTCAAAAAGGTACTTTGTTTAATATTGGAAGTCATAATAAGGATGATTATAAAAGTATTTAGGAAGATAGTATTCAGGAAGATAGTTTGTCTTGTACTGAAATCATAAAGAGATTCAGGAGTTATATGCTGAAATAACAAAAATAAGGTCACTCGAAACATTTTAAATACCTGATGCTGCTTTTAAACAAGTATTTCAATTATGTGTTGAAATAACATTTAAGTACTAGAACTATATATATTTGGTTTTATTGGCATATGGGCAACAGACTAGATTTGTGTAGTGAATTCAAAACAAAAAATTAAATAATAATAATAATATATATAAGTATGTTTTTAAGTGCTGACATGCTGAAAATTTTCAATCAAAAATAATAGTTATCAATTTTTTTCAACAGCATAACAAAAAATTAATTAAGATAGGCTACACTTGTTTTATTAATATGTGTTGGCTATTTAAGATACAAAGTTCAACTATAACTAAAATAGATTTAAATATCATAGTTATATACCTAATTCTAGTATTATTCATTTTGCTAATGTTTATAGATAGCTTTCTTAGAATGTAATGAATAAGATCAAATTTTATGTAAATACAATTCATAATATTAATTAACATATATTAAGGCAGCTTTTTAGTAGTAAATTCAAGAAACAATTGTTTTTAGACAAAGATTTAGCAAATACTATTTAACAATTTCAAAAATGTGATATAACAGACCCTAAAAATAATGCTTCAAACCTTTTAAAAGAATTAAATAAAATGTAAGAGAATAATTCTACATGGTTTATATCATATTATTGTATTAAAAATTGTTTTTTTTATTTATTTTGAATGACCTTATATCAACAAAACCTATATTTAAAGTATCATAATGTTATTCTGATGGATAATACTGTATGAACCAATAAATATCAGATAGCATTATGTTTATTTGTTAGTATTAATTAATGTCGCGGATTATCGTGAAATCGGATTATCATGAAATCCACGTGACCTGTAACCATACACATTTTACGTGATACAAGGGATGGCGTCCTACAAATTCCGAATCTATAACTAGTGCCGCCAAGCCAAAAACTTTACTATTTAAATTAGGGTTAGAGTTAGAGTTTGGGACTTGGCATTCGATAGGTTGTTTTGATTTTATGTTACATTGGATCTCAAATTTTATTAGGTGACGCTAGTCAACACGGCTATACGATAATCCTAAAAACTTCATTTTTTTTGAACCAAAATTTTGCTTACAAAAAAAAAGTGCTCTAAAAATACCATGGTTTTTTAAAAAACTTCCTGCCTAAAAAAACCAGTTTCTAGTTTTTTCCTAGAAAACTTCCCACCTTAAAAAACTTTTTTTTTTTTTTTTTTTAAAAAAAAAAAAAAAATGCTTTGCCCCTTCATGGCTTCTTTTGTATGGCCCTGACTCGCTTGATGGGAACCCGAATATCTTCGCCATTCACTTCAACAACCGCAGTTTGATTGTTGGACATGAGTGATTTAAACACACCTTGTTGGAAAAGGTTGGTTGTAATTTTTTTTTTCTAGTTTGTTGATTCATATCATGGTCTGGCGCAATAGCAATTGTAGCCTCAGCTTCAATTGTGTTATTAACCATTTTTTTTCTATGCACACTTCCTTGCCGATAGATCCTTGCACGATACTTTTCAAGCGATTTATTTACCAATTCCTGAAGTTCCAACATTCGTGAAAGACGTTCTTCCACAGCTTTTGACTCAGCAGATTGGGTGGCGGTTTCAAAGGCAACAGCCTGGGCGGTGGTGGTTTCAGTGGTGGTAGTTTTGGTGGTGGTGGCATCAGCGATGGTGGCATCGGTGGTGGTGGCATCGGCGGTGGTGGCATCAGTGGTGATGGCAGCGGCATCGGTAGTGGCGGCATCGGTCTGAGTGGTGATGGAGGATTCTGTGACAGCATTCTCAGAAGCACCTATTATAAAAAGAGATAAATGAACGTTTAGTACTATAATTCTGAAATTTAATAAAAGAAAAAAAAAAAAAAAAAAATCTAAATCTAATCTTAAAATCTAACTACCCTAACTCTATTAGTTTGCTAACCCTAACCCTACACATTTTAAGTTTGCTAACCCTAACCCTACTTAATTTAAGTTTGCTAACCCTAAGTTTAACAAATTGAACATCAACAAACCAATTATGCTAGGGGTATCATAAACACAATGCATCTTCCATCCAAAA